GTGTATATATATATATACACACACACACCTGATTTGTATTACCCCTAAAGAAGGAAAACAACCAACCAGCCTGAGCAGGACAAATCTGATTTTCAGGCAGAACCCTGAGCTGCCGTAGATCTAAATACCCCGGGAAAAAGGGCATCTCGTTGGACATGGAAGAGCCTTCTGACCACCATCAGGTTGGTGAGCCGCTCAGCTAGGCCATGGGGTAGCTTATTAAGCTTGAGATCACTGACATCATCTTAACGTTTATGGCTGCCTTAGAAAGTAGTAAGATGCCCAGCCGAGTATCCGCCCCAGTTAAATAAACCCAGCCTGAGACAAGGTGGGTAGGCATCGAGGAAATGTTAGGAAATAAATGTCAGCGGGACAATATTGGCAAAAAACTTAACTGGGTGACCTTGGTTCTTCGAGGTGGTAATTCTGTGTGGGAATCCATAGTGGATACCATAGTAAGAGGGAAATTACAACTTTAGAAAAACAAATATGAACGTGTAAGAGGATAGACTCTTCACTACTTCCCCCCTTCATTTTAAGTTAAATGTATCATCTTGAATATATTCTTATTATAAAAATGTTGAAACTACAAAAAATTAATAAGAAAAGGAGAGGGAAAAGCCCCCTTTGGTTTGCCATCCAGATGTAACCCCTGTTATCTCTGGGTATTTCCCATGATTTTTATTTTCAATATACATTTTACATCATTCTGTGCACTTCTGTATTTAGTATTTTTCTTTAAACATGAACAATTTACATGTCATTTTTTTTTTTAGTTTTTTTTTGATGGGGGGAGGTTATTAGGTTTATTTATTTATTTATTTATTTATTTATTTATTTATTTATTTATTTATACTTTTTGAGGGAGGTGTTGGGGATTGAACCCAGGACCTCATGCATGTGAGGCACACGCTCTACCACTGAGCTATACCCTCCCCCTTTACATGTTATATTCTTTATAAATATCTTTAGAGGCAATGTTATTCATTGTATAAAATAATATATTGTAGTCTTAACTTGCTTAACTTTTCGTCTTCAGTTGAGCATTAAGGTTGTAGCCACTTTTTCCCTATTACACATGTTGAGTCAAAGAGTAAGAATATTTGATAACATTTTGATAGCAGTTGCTAAATATTTAATATTAAAATATGTCCAAATATTTTCACTTAATTATATTGTGATCAGCAATGTGTCAAAATTTGCCAACCCTTCCTCTCATTGGGTATTGATACTAAAAGATTACTTTTCTAAATTCACGTGTGGAAAATGGTATCTGGAACTGGATCAGGTAATGGAGGATTTATTGGACTGACACAAGGGTAGCTCACAGAGCCCCAGGGCAGGACACTGAGAACCGGCACTTAGCAGGGCCCCCATCATGGCAGAAATCCGTCAAGTCCTCCCTTCACCCCAGCAGGCCGCCCCTTCCCCGCCTCGGCCTTGCCGTCTGATTTTTCTCTGTTTGCATGTCTCTTACTTTGCCTCTGGCTCTGTCTCATTGCACATGTGTGTGTTGTCTGTCTGTCTTTCTGTGCCTCACTCTGCCTTTGTCTCTCCTATCTCTGTGTGCCTGTCTCTGTCTGTCAGTCCCTCTGTCTGCACACCCTGCAATCTCATTCTCCCATCTCTGCTTTCCCTGCTCATCGTGAAAAACAGCTCCCCGCGGCAGCCCCACTTCTCAGTCTACTAAGTTCAGTGGCCGTCAGGGTCCACCTTGGTCCCTGTGTCTACCTGCGAATTCCGGACACAGAGAGTCTGACTGGCTCAGCCTAGCCAGGGCAGTGGCTGCCCCTGGTTTGGGTCACCCTGGTGGTCAGGGAGAGGCGGGGCACAGGGAGAGACTGGTTCTCAGAGAGAAGGGCACTGAGGAGAGCAGCCCCTCTTGTAGGTGCCTGTAGTAAGACTACGTGAGCCCAGACCCCCCAGGCATGGTGAGCTGCCCAAAGATAATTCAGCAAGTGTGCCCTCTGTTCTTACGTGGACCAACTGAAGAAGGAAGTGAGATGAGTGAAGACCCTTGCTTGAGAGATAATCTGTCACAACTGACGGACACTATCTTCCAGGAATATATTTGCTGTCCCCAAAGTAAAGAACTGGCTTACTTGGTCCCATCTCTGATCTGTGTGTGTAGGGAGGGGAGCTGTCCTGCAGAGTCTCTCTGATGGTCATACTTACCCTTTTTCTTTTTCTTTTTCTTTTTCTTTCCTTCTTGTCCTAAAACTGTCACTCATCCCTGCCTCCCTCTCCCCTCATTTTGTATGGACCCTTAGGTGCTAAGCCAACTTGGAGTTCAGAATTAACCCTGCCACCTTCTCTGAGGAGCATGGTCATCGCTTCACCCAGGAAGCACTGGGTCAGCGAGAGTGTAGCTGACTGGGGGGTGGGGGTTGGACGGAGAGCCTTGACCTGAAATTCTGAGGCAGGGCGGGGATTAGGCACCAATAGCAGGGTTGACAGCATGGCTGTCAGGTGGTCAGAACCAGGTGGTCCTGCTGCAATTAGGTCAGCCTGAGGACTGGGGGCCGAGCCGGCAGCTCCAGGAAGTCTGAGGAGAGCCCAAGATGGGGCAAGGAAATGGTGGGAGAAGGGCTAGGGAGGGCGTCCAGGGTTTTTATGCATGTCCCATCTCTCGTTTGGGGTTTATTGCAATGATGAATCCTATGATGCATTCATCTTTGTTTAATGAGTGACACATATTTGTGAAACCACATTCTAAAGTCACCAAGGTATCCACTGAAAACTTAATTTCCCTCCCACCCTGGTCACTCAGTCATGCAATTTTCTGGGTGGGAATTGTTCTGTGGTTGAGGAAATGGAGGCACAAAGAGGCAAATTGCTCAAGGGCACGCTCACAGTATGTGAAAGCTACTCTGAGGTATTTTAAAAATAAATTACACACACAGTAGTAATGATGTTAAAGGTACAGAAATCTCACGCGTGTCTTTGAGGTGCCGCGGTGTCCAGCCTCTGTGCTGGCTGTAGGACTCAAGGGTGATGAGAAACAGAATTCCTACTGACCGCAAGAGACATTTGAGAATTTGCTGAAAGTCATTACTTTTCATGTATTCTCTCTACGAAATATATATTTTTAAAATTCAGTAATTTGACTTCCTAAATGCATGTTGTACTTTAACAAAAAGATTTTTTTTTTGATTCCATGATGTGAACCCCTGTTTTCTTCTGTTTGCAGATAAGCAGACGTTTAGTGGAATTAGAAGTTTGGGAGGGCAGCAAAAAGCTGTAGGGGTCTTGTACGTCTGAATGGGAGTAGGATGGGATTCCCAGCGCGGCCCACGGTCTGTTTGTTCACCAGTGTAGGAAATCTGGGGAGTGACAGGGCCAGGGAGTGAGCACCCTGCTTCCCCGTGCTGTGGCCAGGGCGCCGCTACGGGGCTACATTCTGGAGTTGAACCTGGAAGACGTTTTCTCCCGTAGGAAGTGCTGTCAGCTCCCTGCCTCGTGGGCATTGCATGGGTCTCCCTGGTGTTGTGACCCAGGTATGTGACCATAAGCTTACAGGTTTCAGTGAAAAAATGTGCTTTGGGTTTCAAATAGCAGATTTATAACTACTCTTTGGAAACATCACTTCTCAGAAGTTGGACTTGTCTGTGCTTGCTCTGTTTATCTTGCTCTTTTGACTGCAGACAGTGAAATTTGGGCCTTTCATTAGCTTGGGTGGTTCTTTTGACTTGTGACAGGTTGGCTTGTGTAACTATGTGTGTATCTGTTTTAACCCACATAGTGGTATTTCTGAGAACTAGAGATGTAGTAACTTTTTTTTTTTCTCCAGTCTGGGCCTGAGTCATTGCTAAATGTACAGCAAGCATACAGATCAAAGATTAGCTGTTTTGGAGCTTGAAGGTCAGTTTAACGTCTCATCCAAATTTGCATATGAAGTTTGTTTTAACACATATCTAGATTTGGCTTTTAGTAATTCCATGAGAGTTTTAATTAGACTCCTGATTGCTTGTAAGCAGGCCCGCAGTGATCCAAGCCAGTGCTGCCTACCAGGGTAGAAGGAAGCCTTTGAGATCTTGGAGGACCCCATGTTTCATTTCTGGTTATGAGGGGTCTTCATCTATTTACTAGTTCTAGGATGACTGATGTGGCCGCCGGCTTTGACAAATCTTGACATAATTTGTATTGGTGTTTCCATATGTTGAAGTTGACTTTGACCTTTGACTTTGACGTTTTTTTCTATTTTGTTCTTTCTTTTCCATGAGGTCACTAGAGCACGTGGATTCAGAAGGCTTCATAGGGACCATAGGGACTGACCTAAAGTTGTAGGCTCCCATGTTGATACAAGTTTGCTCATTTGTTTTCAACTGGGTATGCTCTTTTAAAGTAGTCATGGTAGAGTTCTCAAAACTTTCTGTTGGAGTTTATTCATCTTTCAGTACACATATAGTTCTCTTTTGAATCTTAGGACTAGGTCCCAATGTCACATATCTGATTCAGCAAAGGTAGATTCGCCTCCATGCCAGTGGTTTTTGTGGGAGATGATAAATAATCACATATCTGATTCTGTTTGATTCAAAGATTACTTTTAGGAGGGTAGGGTATTTTTTATTGATATGTAATTGACATATCACAGAGTTTACCCTTTTAGAGTATATAAGACAGTGATAAAATTTTTTAGTACAGGTGCAAAATTTTGCAACCATCACAACTATCTAATTCTAGAACATTTCCATCACCCCAGGAAGAAATCCCATACTTTCCCGTTTCCCGTTTCTTACAGGCCCTGGCAAACACGCCTTTCTGTCTCTCTGCAGTTGCTTATTCTGAACATTTCATGTAAATGGAGTCATACAATATGTGGCCATTATTATCTGGCTTCCTTCACTTAGCATAATGTTTTCAAGTTGATCTGCACTGCAAGGTCATCATGGCTCAATATTTCATTCCCTTTTATAGCTGAATACTATTTCATTATACGGTATCTTAGTCAAGGCTGCTATAATTAGATGGCTTAAACAACAAACATTTATCTCTTACAGTTCTGGAGGCTGGGAAGTTCCGAGGACCAGATGCCTGCAGATCTGTCGTCTGGTGAGAGCCCCCTTGCTGGTTTGTGGATGGTTGTCTTGTTGAATCTTCATGTGGCTGAGAGCAGAGAGCCGAAGCAAGCTTTCTTTTTATAAGACCCTAATCCCATTCATGAGGGCTCCACCCTCATGACCTAATTACCTCCCAGTGGCCCTGCCTCCAAATACCATCACACTGGGGATTAGGCTTCAGTATATGAATTTGGGGACTATATAGTCAGTCCATAGCATGTAGATATTCCACTTTTTGTTTATCCATTTATCAGTTGATAGACATGCGGCTTTTTCTACCTTTTAACTATTATGATTTATGCTACTGTGAATATTCTTGTGCAAGTTTTTTGTGGACATACATTTTCAAGTCTCTTGGGTATATGCCTCGGGGTGGAATTGCTGTCTCGTATGGTAACTGTGTTTAACACTTTGAGGAGCTGCCAGGCTGTTTTCCAAAGTATGCATTGCCACCAAAGTGTATGAGCATTCCAATTTCTCAGCCTCCTTGCTAACTCTTGTTACTGTCTGCCTGTTTGTTTGCTGCTGCTGCTGCTTTTTTTTTAATTGTAACCATCCTAGGGGGCATGAAATGATTTTTCTTTAATAGTTTTGATTTGCGTTTCTTCCATGGTTAATGATATTAAGCAGTTTTTCATGTGCTTATTGACCATTTGTGTGCCTTTGGAGAAATGTCTATTTAGGTTCTTTTGCCCACTTAAAAAATTGGGTTATTTTTTTCACTGTTGAGTTGTAAGAATTCTTTCTATATTCTAGAAAATAGGCCCATATCAGCTATATGGTTTGCAAATGTTTTCTCCTATTCTTGGGTTGTCTTTTCATTCTCTTGATGTTATCTTTTGAAGCATAAAAGGTTTTAATTTTGATGAAGTCCAGCTTAGGATTTTTTTCTTTATTGCTTTTGCTTTCGGTGTCATATCTAAGGGACCATGACCTAATCCAAGCTCAGGAAAATGTATCCCTGTATTTTCTTACCAAAGTTTCATAGTCTCATCTCTTATATTTAGGACTTTGGTCCCTTTTGATGTTTGTATATGGCATGAGGTGGGGGTCCGACGTCATCATTCATTTTGCATGTGAACATGTACTTTTCTGAGCACCATTTGTTGAAAAGACTGTCCTTTCTCCATTGAATTGTCTTGGTACCTTTGTCAGAATGAATTGACCATAAACGTGGGAGTTTAATTTCTGCATTCTTAATTCTATTCCGTTTATCTGTATGGCTGTCTTACTACGAGTACACACTGCCTCCATTCTTGTAGCTTTGTAACACGTTTGGAAGCTGAGCAGTGAGTCCAACACATTTGTGAAGATTATTCTTCGGTGTGTTGTTGATCTTCACTCTTCTGCCTCTCCTGCTTTGAGGCATCTTTTCTCTGCCACCATAAAGTCATATTAGAAATGTAACTTTGAAGTAGCCATGAACCCAGTTTCAGGTTCGCCTCACTCTTCTTGTGTCAAAAGTATGGATTTAGAATCAGGCACATTACAAAAGTTTGACCACTAGCTCCATCTCACTGTTTTAACTGTAAGGTAAAGCTTAGGACCTAAGTCAAAGGAGAGTTCTGAGAATTAAAGAATGTAACATGTGTAAAAGTATCTCGCATGGTGCCTGGGAAATGGCAGATAGAAAATCAGAATCTGTTGCCTTTCCCATGCCCTTCTCTTGGATGCAGAAACTTCCCTTGTACCTTGTAAGAGGGTTATGAATTCTTCCTTAAAGTCAGTCTTCTTCCATTTAGAAATTGATTTCCCCAAAATTGTCATATGGCTTGGTATTACTGAATTTTCTAGTCTCTTTTGTGGTATTGTTTGTAATGTAGTGTTTTAGACTTTGTTCACTATTTTGCCTCCAATGTCTAGAATTGTGCCTGACTGCTAGTAAGTGATCAATAAACATTTGTTGAGTGAATACTAAGTGTTGATCCCATTTCTTGTGCACTTGGGTAACTATAGAGCAGATTGCTTGTAAGTATGTGTTTAGGCAGTCCTGTATCACAGCTAAGTGAGTGTTTAATTTCTGAGCTGTTTCCCACAAGATTTCTTGGAACAGTTTGTCCAGTTAAGCGGAAGTGTCACTCCTGGGAGTGGTATTACTTCCTCCAGGTGATGTTAAACTTCCCATTCAGATGTTTGCTCTTTATGGTAATTTCTGACTGAAATGGGAAGGATTGAGTCTGAATCGTAAACTCTGAAAAGCAAGGAGGAAAGGGAGTGGGGAAGTTGGGTTTGGGGGAAGATAAATGATAATGAGAGACCAGGGAGGGACTTCTAGGGCAGGTTGGGTCAAATGGGGAATGTTCCCAGTCTTGTGATTTTTATGTGATAATCATGGTTTCTCATGATTCTTTAGACCTCTCAAGTCTAGACATGAAACTATAAGGAAAGGGTATCCAAGGGTTATTAATGGTTTTTGTGAGCCTGATTCATAACCAAGAAATGGTGCCTGTGCATGTTAAGCTGTTATCTGCATGACAGATAAACCAGCCTTGAAAGGTAAGAGTTCAGTTCATTTCATAGATTCATAGGATAACTGAGTTTTAAAGCTACACTGGGTTATCAGGCTAAAGGAATGTTGAAGTTTCCCCTCAAAGCATAGATTCCCTGGTCAGAGAGGTTTGGAATGGGTTGAACAAAAGTTAACAGATTTGGCTTATGTTGTTGTTTGCTTGTTTTAATTGCAGGACTGCTCAGAACCTTTAACGTGCCAATATATATTACACTGTGTCTTCGAGAGGGAATTTAGAAGCAGCACTTTCCAAGGTGACTTGTCTGTGGGGACCTATTCTTTCTCCCACAGAGAGCCCTGTGAAACTGGTATTTAGCAGAGCACATTTTGAATAATTATGATCCAAGATAACACCTTTATTTTTCAGACGTGAAATTTGATTTCTTAGTCTTTGTGAGCTGCTGTTTCTAGAAAGGGTCGTGTCTGCTGGTATGTTACACAGAGGCTGTGTCTGCTGTCTTCCTAGCAGAAGTGTCCAAAAAGTGACAGCTTAAGTTAGCAGCTAAAATCAAACTCCTGAAACACTGTGTACATGTATCCATAACATAAAATACCCTGCCTTCCAAGATCTATTTTTTTTTAATGTGTGCTTGTATAGGTTGGTCTGTGTGGTACCTAATAACCCCTGATCTATTGAACCAGTAAACTTTGATTTTTGCAGCTTTTGCTCTTATACACCCTTTTAAAGATAGAGGACAGGAAGAGGCAGGAGGAGGAGAACCCAAACCAAATGAGACCGCTTTTGCTAAAATAAACAAATGTGAACAACTACCTTGTTCTGAGTTATTGGATAAGCAGATAAGCTTGTGATGCCTGGAATGCTTTCTTCGATTTCGATGGTAGAGCAGACTGGATCCAGCTACAAATGTGGTGGATGCAGCTACTCTGTCCTCCTAACCGCTCTTGCGTCTTCCCTCCCTCTATCTTCCTTCTTCCTCCAAATCAGCTAGAAGTCTTTGTTTATGTGATTTCTTTTAAGGGGGGAGAGAGAGAGAGAGGAGGGAGATGGAGAGGGAGAAGGAGGAAGGAAGGAAAGAAAGGAAAGGAAAGAAGGAAGGGAGGAAGGAAGAAAAAAGAAAGAAGGAGTGAGGGCGGGAGATAGATGATAGAAAGAATCTGTCTAGGTATTGGAAGAGGTCTTAGTGGTGTAACTGCCTTCACTTCCAGTAAATCCAGTTTGTGTGTTGGTGTCACCGCTGACGTGTAACAGCAGCACAGATGCGATGTGCAGCGTCAGTAGTTTCCATTCACACATCTAATTAAAAGACCCAAGCACCGCTGTTTTTTCTTATCTACTTTTGCCACATGCTTGGGAGGTCTGCATTACCTTGTCTGATGACTGCAGAGAAGGGTGAAGTTCGTAGGGCGGTTCTATAATGTTTCTCCAGAAAGGACTGGAGAAAGGAGGGTCAGATGGAGAGGACTGGAAACTGTTGGGAAATTGGCTGTTTTCTTAGTGAATTTCTCATTGTCAAATTTCTCATTGTCAAATTAACAGCTTTCCTGCAGGCCAAAAGATAACTCCTGGGCAGCTTTGTGGAGCTGTTTCTAGAACTTAGCAAATTGTGCGGGACCCCTCCGTCCCCACTCCCTGAGAAAAGACACCCGGCTGGCTGAGGATGGAGTTTTGTTGCCTTCTAAGGATAGTAGAAGGCGGTGAATATACTTGCTTATCTACCAAAAAAAAAAAAAAAGGCACCTGATAATTGTTTGAATTGATAACACTCTTGTTCTGAAATATGATCTTTTGCCTCATGTCATAGACTATTATCTTTAAACTGAGCACCCATTGTAAGGCATTCCTAAATGACACATGAACTTCACACGTCTTTTTGAAACATTCCTAGTGGGTTTTTATTGAAACTATGAGTTGGAGAAGTTAATCTCTGTACTGACACAGTTTGAAGTACCTGGAAGTTTCAGGGCTTTTTAACTAAAAATCCCTGCTGACATCATGTAGAAAACTAATAGCCTGTTTCACTCTTTAATTCACTCTCTCCAGACAATGGAAGGGAGTGGGAAAGAAAATTTCCTGGATGACTTAATGCTCTTAAGTTTTGGCCACCACACTTAGGATGACTCAGCTATCTGCCAGCCTTTGACTTTTCCAGAGTTGGTATGAGTGAGAACACACTTGAAAGATTTCAGGAGGCAGAAATGTCCCAAATTCTCACTTTGTGCTAAGGGAAAGCAGGGAGAAAAGAAGTGGTTTAGAGTGGTGGTGTCTAAAATTGTGCTGTCTGATGTGGTAGCTGCCAGCCACATGTGGCTTTGTAAATTTAAATTATTTAAGATTGATTAAAATTTCAAATTCAGTTTCCTAGTTGTACTGGCTGCATCTCAAGGGCTCGGTAGCCACATGTGGCCCGAGGCTGCAGTATCAGACTCCAAGTTCTGTTGGCCAGCTCTGGTTTGGATGCTGCACTTTTATTTCATGATCATTCAGGGTTAGTTGAAGCCTTCAGGAGTGCCCTGCTGGTCTG